TGTAACTCTGTAACTTCTGTCGGTGCTGTGCTTTTTTGGAAACCGAATTTCCCAGAGGAACCCACCCGAGGGATTAATAAAGTTTTATCTTATCTGTGTTTCATGTTTGTACATGAAACACCGAAGTACAATTATATTCCATGTTATAAAACAGGAAGATCGAGCACTTGGTAACTTTTGGTAACTTTTCCCAGCACAAAAATGTCCAGCATGTAACAGCAGATTATTTAAACCATATATAAACTTTTATAGTCCACTGTGTAGTGTCTTTAATTGGTAAATCACTTTTTCTAGATTTTTTTTTTTAAGAAAACAAATGTCCACTTTATTTGGAAAAAAAAAAAAACAACCAAAAAAAGCAGGTCTAAAATTGGAAGCACAGATGTCCCAGTTTTGAACTGGGACTTAAAGGCAGCTCACATTTGTGGAGCTAGAGCGTCAAATCATCACGTGAGCCTGCAACGTGATTTGTGTGTATCAGGAGATTCGTCCACACAGTTTCAAGGTTTTGTGAGCGAGCAAGAGAGATGTTACGTATAGTTTTAGATATTTGTCCACGCAGAATAAATAAATCGTGTGTATTTATACAGATTTGAATGTACACATTTGTAAAATACTTTTACGTGTGGTCAAACTGCTTCGTATTTGTGTGTGGATTAAAATACGCGCTCCTATGTCCTCAAAAGTTACACACAAAATATTGCACACATTTGCAAATCTTAGTTTACGCTTGTGCAGCATATCGTAAGCATCCTTTTTGAGGCAAATTTCTCTCCGCTTTTCCACTAACCTGGAACAGTTTCATATGTTATTAAAAATGATAAATTAATGCTAAAACTTAATGTATATGGTTCAGGCTATTTCAAGTAAAACGGGGTTTTTCTTACCAGCAAATAAACCATGGCAAAAGAGAAGCAAGACAAATAACTCCATCGCTCTTTATCCTTATTGCGACAGGAAAAAGAAACCAAAACAAAACCGTTACTGGAGTGGCGTATCTGAAAAAGAAGTTTCAGCAGCCCCACCCACCTTTGTTGCGTTGAAGTTCTGCCTCCAAAGGACATATCCTAACATAATTTAACCCGGAGAAAAAAATGCTTGATACGTTGTATTTTTAAAGGTTTGAAACACCCAAGATACATTTTGAAAACTTATATTCGCGGTGCGCTACGGACAGTACAGTAGTGCAATTCATCCTGATCGGTGATTGGTCAAAAGTCTAGGGTGGCAGAAGGGGGAAGAAGAGCCTTGTGATTGGTGAAAAATGTGCAATGAAGGAGACTTCTCTTTTTCATTCAGTCTGTTGTCTTTTTTTCTTTATCAGGTGATGTTTCCAGCTCCTTTATCCCACCTGATGCCTGGACTGCTGTCTGTGGTCTTCAGCACGATCACAATGTGTTATTTATTTATTTTGACTGGTTTACAATGACAGGACAGTAAGAATTATCAGTGTATATTCCAATAAAAGCATCTAGTTGTTACTCCAACATCGATGAGGATTTTCTTTTGGCTCTTTTGAACCAACAGGTTGGAAGATCCCCTGAAATGAAAAGCAACTGAAAATCAATACCTTTCTTTTCTTCTGTGATTATTATGTGCAAAGAGTAGCCATAAGAGGAGTCTTTCAGGTTCTCCTGATGAGACAATGTAATTGTTTTACTTTTCTACTGGTAAAATCTGAAGGATCCTATATCCTCTTATATCTCCCCCCGAGGTGGAGGAAGATCTCAGCCTGGGCGTCTATTGGCTTGTGTAGTCTGGAAGATGTGTGGATGATGGGGTGGGTGCAGTTTTCTCTGTGGTGGGGTCGGGTGGGCTGTCCCGGGCTCTGTGGGGCCGGGCGACGCTGCTGAACTGGGCCCCGGTCCGGATGGGCCTGGGCCCCCTTTCCCTGGTGGGTTGCAGAGTATGGGGGTGCCTACTGGGGTCAGCGGGGGACCTGGCCCTAGGGAGGGGTCACTTGCCCCTCCCTTCCTTCCCTCCCCATCTCCAGCTGCCTCCCTCTTCCCGCTCCACCACAA